ATTGTCATTCATTATCTTCCTCGAGCACTTTTCATCTAAGATCTCACAGTAGATACTTTTACATCTCTTATCCCATTTTTTTTTTAAGATTTTATTTGAGAGAGAGAGAGAATGAGAGAGAAGGGGGAGGGTCAGAAGGAGAAACAGACTCCCTGCCGAGCAGGGAGCCCGATGTGGGACTCGATCCAGGGACTCCAGAATCATGACCTGAGCTGAAGGCAGTCGCTTAACCAACTGAGCCACCCAGGTGCCCCTCTCCTCACCATTCTTAAAGGACATTCTCCTCATATTTCTGATGCCAAGTAAGAGAAGTAACGTAATCCTGAGCAAAAGGAAGATTAGAATTTAAGTCTCCAAACCAAGCCTCCTAGCCTGTGGCTAGGATGCCAAATCCAGCTGCAGCTACACAATTTTGTAAAGAGAATAAGAAGAGAAGGCTTACAGAATTATAAATGAAATCCTGAAGGAAAAGTTATCTGGTATACAAACTGGGAATGCTAAGAGGAAGGAGTAAATAAAATTGAAAAGAAATGTGTCTTTGGGAGGGGGAATTAAAACCAGAAAATACGATGGAGAGAATATGGACAGAAAACAAGAGAATCATATCAAGTTTATTATCTCCTAAATATGTATTGGAATGACCTTGGACCTCTACATGTATTAATTCGTAACTCATCAAATTAATCAGTTGTAGGACATTGAGCAAGTCAATATCTCAGACTCTCAGGTGCCTTATCTATAAAGATTAGGCAAAACTTTTAGTTTTATTTTTCATCCTACTCAATGTGTGAACCTCTTCAAAAACATCCCAGCAAGTAGTTACTCAACTTTGGCTCAAATGAAAAGGACTAAGGGGCCCAGTACCTCTTCAGAAAGCCAATTTAAATTTCAGATTGCTCTTCATCAAAAGTTTTTCCATAAATTGATCTAAGATTTTATTAATTTCCAGCTAATTTTAAAATTTTACATCCAAAATTACTATGCAAAATCCTTTCCTCTACAAGGACAATAGCTCCCCCTCCATCACTTTTATCACAGCATGAATTAGTGGTAAAGTAGGATCATGAAAACTGGCTTCTAGTCTGAATTCTGCCACGGTCTATTTAACACTGACAAGGCATTCATTATACCTGGATCCTAATTTCTTCACATCAAATGAAGGGCTTAGATTTTGTTAAAGGTCTCTAACACTGACCATCCCTTCCTGACTATCTAGTTGTCCTTAACTCCAGGGATCTTCATGTTGTTTTCTTACTTTCTGAAATGGGGTATAGGAGACTTCCTTAATGAATAAAAGAATACCCTTTTCATTTTCTGGTTTCTCTTAATTCTTATTGTTATGGATATATTTATTTAGAGCACATGAACTGAAATCTTCTTAGTGAGATGACAAGTAACTTTAGCAAGTTGGAATTTATAGTTCCTTTCCTACAAAAAGAAGATAGGATATTAGGCTCTTAAGGGTTAGAAAGAACAAAACTGGTTCACCTTCTCACTAATGAAGAACCATAACAGCCTTCTAGCCCCTAGTATTTTGCTTTCCAGCTTCTGCTCAAACTTTCTAGTGAAAGGTGCTTAGTGTTTTCTGGACTTAGCTTGTCTTATTGATAGACAGCACACTACCTGGCCTATAGGAGGTATGCAAACGTTGTTCCAAAATGTTTCCTGGAACCACCCATTGGTTCTGGTTCTGCCTTCTTTAGCCGAGCTGCATAGATATACCCCCTGATACTGAGTAGCCCTGCAACTGTTCAAATCTCCTCTCCCACCCCTGCCCAATACTTGGCTTCTCTAAGCTAAAAAGTTCACACTCCTTTGTGTTTTCCACATCTTTTACTATCCAGGTTCTTGTATAGTGGGTGAATTTTAGCTTGTCAACAGCCTCTATAAAATGTGATGCCAAGAACACAACATAAGTGTAAAATATTTCCTTAACTCATTATTTCCACACATGTTGAGCCCAACTCAAGAAGACCGAGTTACCACTTCAACTCAGTATGTTTATTGCACGATTCTCCTAGCACCAAAAAGCATTCTGCTTGCTCTGTGCCTTCACAGATCTTTAGCTCTAGTTATCAAACACACTGATATGAGCCAGTCCTCTACCTTTTGAAGTGGTGTCATGAATTCCAATTATTTCTTAGTGCCACTATCCGCTAATACTGGGCAGAATGGTGTATTGTCCATTTATGTTCTTATGTCATGTGAGCAGAAATAGTACCAAGAGTCCCTTTCTGAGAATCGGTGAAATGAAGTCCATTGCAAACAGCATTAAGAACAAATTCAGAACAAACGATTTATTCCATTTGGGATTACATGTAGGATGATGTGCCCACCTTGGCTATTTTAAGAGGTTTTTTCCCCCTTCAGACTCAGGCTAGGTCTTTAATATATCACAGTGAACGTGGCTTTGTCCGATCTTTACAACCAAGTCAAACTGAATTGAGGCAAAAGCCGAGGTAATTCAGACAAAATACCTCTTCAGCCTATGTTGGCTTTGATCGGTATTGAAGGCCAAAAACTAAACACCGCTATCATGCTACATGAAATTGGAACTAAATTGGGTCTCTCCTCTACTATCATCACTAATGCGCTGTGTATAAAAAAGAAAAGGAAAACCAGGAGAACTTGGTTATTGAATTGTGTGCCATCAATTTCACGGAATACGGTCTGATGAGAAAACCGCACCATAGTCAGTGTGGTTGGTGCCGCAGGTGTGAGCTCCTCCCTTCCCGCTTCCTCTGGCCAGGAACAGCCACAAAGGGAGGACCCTGATGTGGCAGAACGAGCATCTTTCCATGTTTAATGCTCATGAATCAAAGATACAGGCGTTCCCTGGGCTCCAGGATTCATTCTGCCTCCAATCAGGCGGAGCTGTGCCTACGCTAACAAGGTTTCCTATTTACCTGCCTTTTGAAAACATCATGAAATGTGCCTAATCTGCTTCTCTCAGAGCCAAAATAAAGCCTGGCATCTTCTTCAATTTAAATTTTTTTAATGTCCTCCCAAAACACAGCATTTCTACTGACTTTAAAGATTCTCCCCAAATCCCTTTTAGTAGCTCTTCTTTCTAGTATAAGAATCTGAGATTCTCCCCTCTTGTAATAGTATCTACTTTCCCTTCCAAGTATTCATAAATCACTCCCCCCCACCACCACCACCATAACCAAGTCTTTTGTCTTACTGTAAAGCACTTGCCCAAAACTCCTGCCTTAAAAAGGTATGGTCATTATCTGAACAGGGAGAGAGGAGAAATCGGAGTGTAGATTTGTTTTTAATAGCACATCTACACAACCTAAATCAATGGGAGAGGCGTTCACAGAAAGTGATAGAGGCAAAATGCCAACCGATGCATTGTTACAAGAAAACTGTGTTGGACAAAGAAATGAACAAGGAGTCAAAAGATTTTTTTTTTTTTTTTTTGGTCCTCCTTTGACTTTAGCTAGTACTAATTTCACAGGTGGATCCTTCAATCTTGCCAACCCTCGATTTCCTTAACTATGAGAGGGAAAATTAATCTTTGTTGTCTATGACTCACTAGATCTTGATTGACAAAGAGCACTTTGGAAAATCCAAACAGCTCTACAATGCTTATGTTTTTAAAGCAATAGCTTGGTCTCCTAAATGATGCTGATTGGATAGAGGTCTCACCCTGACAACTTATCTTTGCCTAAGTTAATGTTTCCTGGAACAAACCTGTAGGGAAAAAAAGGAAGGAAGGAAAGGAAAGAAAAAGAAAAAATTCCTATGGCTACATGCATGGAACTTAGATCTAGAGGGATATTTAGGATTCATCCTCTTTTAGAAAAACAAGGAAACAAAAAAAGATTAACTGTAACCCAAGCTCACACGGCCATAGTCTCTATAATACTTATCATTCGAACCCAAGGGTCAGGACTCCACTTAGCCACACACTTTTCCAGCCTTCCTGGGCTCACTTACCTAAATACACAGCCAGAGCCAAAGGAAGATGGGAAGCTGAGGTCGCCTCTGGCAGGCTGCTATATCAGATAAGTATCCTGGGTGCGTAGTGTCATCACACAATTTGTTAGCGTAATTTCAAACTCCAGATATCAAGGGAGCTCTATCCCTTCGGTATTTGAGAGTCAAAAAATACCATTTGCGGTGACTTTCCACACAGGTGGAACTCAAGACTATAAAACGATTAAAAACGGAAAAATCGGGCTGGGAGTGAGGGGATCTGTCAACCAAAGGTTATTAGCCCTGTTCACTCTTTTCGAGAACAGGACACTGCCTGGGGTGGAGGGAAGGGGGCGTGCGCGGAGGAGGACGCGTTAACAAACGATTCCCGGAAACTCGGTTCGGTCCCAGTTTTGCGCGGCGAGCCCTTTATTAGCTAAAGAGACTGCAAGCTCCGGGAGAGAATAGGAGACCTCCTAGGGGAAAGGGAGAGAGCGATGCGCTGGGCCAGACTCTTGCCCCCACCTCGGTAGTCCACAAACAGGTGCACGTCCGGAAGGGGATGCGTATTTAGCTTTAATCTCGCTAAAACTCCGCATTCCCTAAAATGCAACGAAAATGAACATTTCCACAGACAGCCCAAGGAACACTCACTTTTAAAATATCAGTAGCCCATGGGACGTGTAAGAGTTGCGGGACAGGTGCAGCAAGGTCTGGAGGCAGAAACTGCTCGGTAGGTTTTCCCGCCCAAGTTTCTCGCCGCGCGTGGGCGCCGCTCAATATGGGGACTGGGGGGGGGGGCGTGTAGAGCGGGTGTTCCCGGGGGCCACAAGCTTAGGGGTCCAGGGTGCCGAACCGGAAGCTCAGAAGAGGAACAGTGACGGGAGAGGACAGAAGCGCCGCCCTGAGGAGGGGTTGTCGCCATAGTTTCTGAGTTAGAGATAGGGGGTGGGGGAACCCCAGTGGGAGGTTAGTGGCTAGCAGCGCGCGAGTCTGTCCGGCACAGACGTCGTAAGCATCCGGTTGTGGCTCTACCTGGATCCCCGCAGAGCGGAAAGCCCACACTCCCGGTCCCTTACCTGCAGCCAATCGGTCTACCCAAGGAAGGGCAAAGGGTCCGGGTGGAGAGGTCACGGAGCCTGGACAACGGAGCTCGGGGCAGGTGGCGGAGAGGAGAGGGCCAGGAGGGTCTGCGATCGCGGCGGAGTTAGAGAGCTGAGAGCCCAGGGTCCAGCTTGCGCCACTTAAGACACCGGCGCGGGAATGAGCTAACGCAGGTGCACGCTCGCCCGGCAGGGACCCGGCGGGCGAGAGGGGGAGGAGGGCGTGGGCCGAGCCGCGGGGCTCCGCGCGGGTTCGAGGGTTCACAGGTGTGTTTTGTTTGTCTTCCAGGAGCGGATTTCCGAGGCCCGCCCCGGGACCCGAGTCCGTGCGTTCCGGATCCCGGAGGGAACCGCGCCCCGCCCGGCCGCGTCCTCCCTGCCTCCCCAGCCACGCGGCTCAGAGCACGTGCGGCCCTGGGCCCAGCTCCCCCTCGTCCCCAATGTCCACCTCGTCCTCGGGCTCGGTCAGCACGAAGGGGCCGGCGGGCAGGCCCAGCCGAGCCTCGGCAGACGCGGCCTCTGGGCCGCGGGGGCTGCCCTCAGGGCTCTCGGGCCCATCTGGCGCTTTGGGCTCATCCTGACTTTTCCTCAGCTGCTTTTTATGCTTCATCCGCCGGTTCTGGAACCACGTTTTCACCTGATTTCAGGGGGAAAAAAAATACAACCACGTCATTCCTTCAGACCCATAGTTACTAAGATCTGCGAAGATTGCTGGGGGTTAGGAAAATGGACCGCAACCCATTCACGAATTATCCAAGAGCTGTGACAGTCTCATCCTTGGGTTAAATCATACCTGAACTGCTTGCAAGTTATCGTGTTAGGGTGAATGAGAATCAAGCATCCTAAGACTCCTGGAAGTAATTGTCCAAAATAACGATAAAGGTCAAAATGGTGTGCTTAGTTAATACTAATACTGTTATTAATTTTAATCACTAATAGTAAGTGCTACGTTGATTAGCCTCCTTTATGTTTAACTTACGTTCTCCCCATTTTGGCATCTAAACACCTGGTCTTGCTGGACAGGAAGATGAGAATCAATCTTGCTTGTTCTCATTAGAGAGAAAAGTCAGGGGCGCTCGGCGGGGCTAACGATTTCACAGCAAGTGGGGCTCCCAGGTACAGAGAATGTAAGAAAGAGAAAGTGGAGGAAGGAGTTTTAAGGTTGCAGGTGAACAGGATCTGGAGGGGGAAAACAGTTCTCCCTCTCAGGACAGAGCAATAAGGAGGCCGCTTACATTACAGTGGGGGAGTGGGGAGGATGGATTTGAGGGCTTGTGTCTGTGAGGGAGATTAAAATAATAAGAAAAACAATTTTCCTGAGTGGACTTCGCTCAGGATAAGAACCCGTCTAGTCTCTGATTTTACGTCGGACCAGGGTTACAGCCCCCATGGGAGAGGAGTGCGGGCGGGGGGGGGGGCGGATAGGCGGCAGAGAACTGATCGTTCTCAAACTGGGAGTGATCATCAGGATCATCCGAGGAGTTTCTCCTCCCTGTCCAGAGCTCCCTCGAGAGAGGACGCTTCGGTAAGTCTGACCTGGGGTTGGAGGGGTTGGTACTTTTACTAAGGAGCTTCGGAGAAGCCTAGAATAAAGGGGAGAGGGGTCACTCCCACTCAAGAGCTCCGCACTGGGTGCAAAGGCGGTAGGAGTTAAGCGGGGAGGGAAGAGCAGCAGCGGAGATCGGGAACTGCCCCTCTCGGGCCCACCTGCGTCTCGGACAGGCTGAGGGCCGTGGCCAGCTCCACCCGCTCTGGCGTGGACAGGTAGCGCTGGATCTCGAATCTCTTCTCCAGGCCAGAAAGCTGCGAGTCCGAGAAAACCGTACGAGCTTTGCGGCGGCGGCAGTGCTTCCCCGGCAGCTCGGTGTGCTGGGGGTGCGGGAACAGCGCCGGCACCGGCACCCCTGCAGAGAGAAAAGCCACCGAGTGGGTAGAGCGCGATGCCCCGGGAGCCACCTCCACCGCAGCCTCTACCCCCGGCCCCCAGCGCCTCCCTCCGCTTCTTGCCTCCACTAGTCCCCTGGTCGCCCCAACGCTTCTCCAGCCCTTCTCCCAGGAACCTCAGGGCAGGGGAAATAAAATCCCAAGAATAGCGCTTGGAGATCTTTATCCGGCAGGTCATCTAGGCCTACAAACAATAAACAGTAAGCAAAACGGAAAAGAAAAATTTTAAATCGGAGGCCTTAGAAAATTTCTTCTTGGAAAGACTCTTCGCAGCGTCTGCCAGTCGGCTGGTGCGCCTCCCGAAGTTTTCTTGCAAACGTCGGCTGGTCCAGTAGCTGTTCTGCCCAGCCACCACCCTTTTCCATACCCCGTAGTTCTGGGGCTAGTAGAGGCACGAATGTGGCCTTGCTTCCCAATCTCACTAAAAAACACCTCTTTCCCGAGCTGCCTCCATTCTCCCGCCCGCCGCCAAAGGGAACAGATCAAAACTCTCTCATCAGGAGCAGCTCAGAAGCAAGAACAGAGGGGCAATTCCCGCCTGGCACGTTCCTTATAAGTTGCAGGGGCCACTGGGGACCCCCTCTCTAATCTGATCCTCATCCTTTTTCTCATTCTTTCTCTCCGACCCTAAGCAGAAGGATTGAAGCCCTTCGCCCCCCCCCCCCCCCCCCCGCCAGGTCAGGGAGAGACTTGTCTTTCCTGACCTCTGCAGGCATTATGGTGTCTGAGACACACCAAGTAAACTGCCACAGACATCAATTTCTGCCAGTGGGGGTGGGGGTGGAGGTGGGGGAGGAAACAAGCAATTCCGGCATCACAGGCTTTGTCCATTGCTATTTGTAGGGAACATGGGTGCAGCCCAGAAGAGGCTGTCATGGGCCACGGAGTGAGGCCAATACCAAGACGAATACCAAGATGCAGGCTTCAACATAGCTTCTATAATTGTCCTGCCAACCCAATGCCTCAGAATCTGGGTTTTACCGCTTCACAAAAACTTTTAGCTTTTGTCCTAGATTCCAGAGCACACATTTCACAAACTGTCTCAGGTGTTTCCCCGGCCCTCGCCGAGATGGGGTTGTTTTCCCACCTGCGCTCTGCGTCTGGACTCAAGGAATTATTATATTTCAACTGGAATAAAAATGCCAAAGAAGAAAGCATGAATATGGCCTTGCAGAGAGCGGCAGGAAAAAATCTGGGTATTTCCTTACATCTCCCTGACCCAACCACTTTGTTGGCCCCCAGTCTTTGTCATTCATAGAAAATCAAAATACTTTGGTGTGGGGCTCCAGCTTCACCAGCAACCGGGGCAGAAGAGGGCAGCTGAGCCCAAGATTGTGAGTTAGACAGTGGGAGTGCAGATGGTTAAAGAGGAGCAGCGTCCGTCCCCCGGCCCCCCACACTTTTTTTTTCTTACCCTTTTCTCCCCTATACCGGCCAGGTCAAACCTTCAGTTCTCAGAATATCTCAAACCCTCATTCACTTCCAAACCCCTGCAGTATATCCGTGAATGCTCAGCACCCAAGAGGAGAGAGTTGGACCCGCTGGAGGCTTTGGAGTTAATTAGCTGGAAAGTGGAGTTCTGCTCCATGGGGTGGGGTGGTCAGGGGTCTCCCCTAAAGCGAGGGGAGGCAGAGAATCAGGATTGAGAGCTGGACCAGAGTGACCAGGAAGACCACGAGGAAGGAGACGGAGCACTATCCACCAAGAATATTGTCAAAACCTCTAGCCACCTCTTGGATAGGAATGTTGCCTCTTATAAAGCGTGCGGAGTGACCGAGACTTATCCCCATGGGTTGGCATGCCTCAGGGGAGCTCTGCATGTTCTCAGCCATATCCCCAACGTTCCACTGTCACTTAGGGAAGGAAGCCGCCAAGCCAGGCCGAGCCAGCTCTGGCCTTTCCTCAGCTCTATCACAGGCTTAGGGTCTGCGCTGGAAGACCTGCTCTCTCGCTCCCCAAACCTTGAGGCCCCTGGTACTTACCCGAGGTGGTGAGGAAATAAGGGTGGTGGTGGTCTCCCTTATGCAGAGGGTGATGGGGATGAGGAGCCAGGAGGGTGGGTGTGGGCATGAGGGGGTAGCCATAGTCTAGCAGAGGCACCCGCGAGGCCAGAGAGCTGGCGAAGTGGTCAGGGGCCATCTCCCTTAGCGGCTTGGGCTTGTGCAGCAGGATGTCCTCAATGAAGAAGGACGTGGGCCTCTGAGAAGACGCAGGGTGTAGAGGGGCGGTGAAGTTGAGATTCATCTTGAGCCAAGCGTCTGTCACAGGGCGAGGGCCGGGGACGAAGTGCGCAGGCAGCGTCTCAGCAAGCCTGGTAGAGTGCCAACAACCACCCTCCGAGGCTCAGAAACCCCGCGGCTCTCTTCTGGGCCTGGGCTACCCCGGGCGCTGGAGAGGCGAGAAGACAAGCTCCTGGGTAGGTTGGGTCTATGTGTAGAATTGGCAGCTTCAAGAGGGGAGCTGGGAGAGCCAATGGCAAGGCTGCCAGCGGCGGAGGGGAGGGTGCGGTGGGCTCGGGGCGGGGCGGGGAGCTGTCCGCGGTGCTGAACACGACCGGCCAGGCCCGGGGAGAGCGGAGCGGAGCGGACCGGGCTGTTGCTCTTATGAGGTTGGTTTCTCAACCTCAATTTGAGTTTGTTTGTTTGTTTGTTTTTCTTTTTTCCTTTTTCTTTCTTTTTTCTCTTAGACATTTTATTTTTTTTTTAAAGATTTTGTTTATTTATTTGACAGAGACACAGCGAGAGAGGGAACATAGGCAGGAGGAGTGGGAGAGGGAGAAGCAGGCTTCCCGCTGCGCAGGGAGCCCGATGCGGGGCTCTATCCCAGGACTCTGGGATCATGACCTGAGCCGAAGGCAGACGCTTAATGACTGAGCCACCCAGTCGCCCCTCTCTCAGGCATTTTAAAAGAAAGTTAAAAAGAAAAAAGTCTCTGTCATTCGACAGACTCCTCTTTAGAGAGCAAAAAGCATTTAAAAGGTCCCAAAGCAATAGGGATAAGGCATTTATTTTGGCATTTGGGGCTGGGTTTTCCAAGTTTAGAGACATGGTAGTGGGATGGAGAAGGGGAGAAGTGAGGAGAAGGTCCATATCTGCTACACCCAACTTCAGTTGCTGGCTGAGGCACAGAAGGACTGTTGAGGTAAATAAATAAAATGTTGATGATCATAACACTCTTTCCCTCAGTTATAAGGAAAGTTATATCTACATTAGGAAGTAATTTGGTCTGTGTATGTCCAGAGCTACTTCTTAATGCCAGCCTCCATCTCCTTTACTTCTTCATTCCACTCACACAGCTTCCTATTTCTACCATACTACCGCCTTCAACCCTAACCCACCAAACTAATTGTACTAGATTTTTGTCTCCTGTTCTTTCCCAGACTTCCTTTTCATTTCCCTCCCTTCCAATCTTTTGTTTTGGTTGTTGGTTTTTTGTTTTGTTTTGTTTTGTTTTTTCCTGTTTGTCTCTTTCTAATCTGTCACATTTATTTCCCTGGAGTCAATTTGCTAAAATTAAGGTGATCATCTACAGCACAGCAGGGATAATTTCAGCTCGCATCTCTGAAAATTGCTCTAATTATTGATGTTAAACTCAGGGAAATTAAAGAAGCCACTTCTCTTCCATCTCCCCATTTTTAAGCTCTAATTTGTTGAAATCTAGTCGTCATCACAATTCCAATCACTACTGCTAATAGTAAAAGTGTTTTAATAGAGACTGAGTCCTCACAACCCATGCTATTAGATAATTAGAGGAGGTGTTAGAAAGCCAAGTGCTAATCCTTGGGCGCATGGGTAGGATTTCCATCTGATCTAGCAGGTAGAACAAATTAATTACCAGAATCAATTAGGCCCCAAACTACAGTGCACCAGGAAGTGGGAGCATCGTATTCCATACGGATGAACTGGTAAATGATAAATAGATGAGGAGAGTACGAGGAAGGGGGAAAAGGGGAGGAAGTAACTTTAAAGTAAGATCTTGGCAAGCAGGCATTTAAATGAAGTCAGAACACTTTGTCGGGGAGTCTGAACTGTGATTTTTTTTTCTTCAACTGATTATAATGATTAAGGACTGAAAACCTGAGAGCAGGCAGCCACAGAGAGGGAAAAGAGTGGACTTTCAGGAGTCATTCCCTCCCTCTTTAGCCGGGTCTATTGATCTCCTGCAGGGCTAGAGGGAAACTGAAACCAAGGGGACTCGTGAAGTGGCGCTGGGGGTGACGGTCCACTTACCGATGCCCATTTCCCTCTCAGTGGGAGCCTACCCAGCCAGTGAAGGGCAAGCTGTCCTGTCCCCTAAGACCCTAAGGGCTGAGGGGCTACTGAGGGCGTGGAGGGTATACAACCAGCCTTTGGCCTCAGTAAAGAGCCTAGCTGTGCCTGCGCGCTCCCTACGCTCAGTTCCTACACAGACTGTGGGTATAGATTTGCACCCAGCCTTGGGGATGGGATTTCAACCTCATTCCAGAGCTGAAACTATTTCTGTTTCCCAGGCAGAAGTTAAAGAGATTATTGAATGTCCTTTTGGGAGCAGGGGCAGTAAAAAAATGTCTTTGGGTGACTGTTAACTTTGAGCCAAGGCACTGCAAGCCCTTTCTCAGAATTTTGTCTTACACATGTACCAGAGCGTTCTTGGGATCCAGAGAAGGGGAGGGAAAGGGTAGACCGCCTGCTTGGTCCTTACCTTCCCCCTTATTTCACAGACGCTGCACTCAACTCCCTGCTCGCCTCCAAAGTTAAGGCTGTCTCTTCAGGTCCTGGTCCCTGGAGGAGACGCTCCCCTTTTTCTAGTTTGGCTCTCACTGGGACTCAATTTCCAGAGCCCAGAGCTGAGCGCCACCGAGGGAGACTTAAAGGCATTTCCCTCCGGAATCCAGTTATATTGCCTTTGCCACGGCCCCAGCAGGAACCTAAGAAGTAAGAGAGGGAGGGAGAAAACTGGATAGCTATGGAAAGGAGGAGGACCTCGAGGACTGTAGGACTTTTCCTTCCTCTTCCCATTCCCCTTTCTGCAACCAAGGGAGACAAAGCTCGGGGGCTGAGAGAGCCAACTGCCCACACCAACGCAGTCCCCTAGGGACGCGGAGGTGGGACCAGGGGATCGGAAGTGGAGGCGGAGACAGGGATTCCTCAGTTGCCACCCTTTTCCAGGAGGGAGAACCCCTTGTTCCAGGATGCTCAAATAATCATACTGGGGCTTACTTTGGGGGTTCTGGGGGCTGAGCCCTGCCTGTGAAGAGGCAGGCTGTATAGGCAGGTCTTGTCCTAGAGAAGTGCCTGTTGGGTCCTAGCCTCAGACTCCTCCTAGAGTTATTATGGCCCACACCCTCTGAGAAATGGAAAAGTCAAGAAAGCTGACAAGTTTCTCTGCCGTGGTGGGGTTACTGTGCAGAACTGTGGAGAAACACTAGGGTTACCAGAACCCATTCTCTACCCTCCCCTCAAGGCCCCTACATGGCCCATCCTACTTCTGCGTTGGAGTGAAGGAGGTCCCCAAAGATGTCCAGCCTCCTCCTAAGGTTCAATTCTGGTCTGTCCTATGGGAGGAGGAAGAGGCATTCCAGAGCCTGCAGGCCTTCCCTGCCACCTGGCCCCACCCCTTCAGGGCCAACTCCTGCAATGGGTCAAAGTTATATTTTTTGAGATAGCTTGTAAAACCATTTGCCCCTTAAAAGCAGAGATGTTTCATTGCCTGGATTATCTCTAAAGTATAGACCAGCACTGTCCAATAATGTGAGCCACATAGGTAATTTTAAATTTTCTACTAGTCACAAATTAAAACATAGGAAGAAACAGGTGAAAAATTAATGTATTTCATTTAGTCCCAATATACCAAAAATATTCAAGATCTAATCAATATAAATATATTAATGAGATTTCTTTGTATTTGTATTCTTTTTTTAATACTAATTCTTCAAAATCCAGTGTGTACTGTATCCTTACTGCACATCTCAATTTATACTAGCCATATTCCAAGTGCTCAATGGCCACGTATGGCTATTGGTTACCTAAGGGGCAGCCTATGGCTAGTTAAATGCCATAATCCCTTTTACCCCTTTCCAGTGTAAACAGGCATACACGGAAAATGGAAAGCAGTTGCTGAAGCCAGCTTAGTACTTTCTTATGCTTGCCTTTTAACCATGCATTATATTCAATTATTGTGAGCATTCATTGAGCACCTACTATATGCCAGGCTATTCACCACACACCTTCCTAAGCTTCCTCCAAGCTTTAGGAGTTTAAATAAATGTACTCACACTACATTTATTGTTGATTCTCATTTGACTAAAATCTGTCACCTAGAACCAACAGGCTGGAGCTGTATGCTAGGCTGACACATAAAACAAAATCCTGCACACTGCCCTGAGCAAAAAAAAATAAAGATCAAATGTATTTCCCCCCACCCAACCCTCAAGATCTGGTAGTACTCCTGCTATGGTCTCAACTGAAGATTTATGAATTCCAAGAGAGAAAACACATGTTTTTCAGGGAGCAAATAATTAAACAGTCCTTCTCTCCTTCATGTCAGCCTCATCTAAAACTGTCATCTGAGCTGGGACTTGGTTCCCCAAAAAGATAACTCTATTGATGATCAAAGGAAGAGACTGGTTCCATTAGCCATGGTGCCTATACCATGGCCTTCAAAATAAGGGAAGAAATGTATTTTAGAAGGATCTGAGTAACATACTTTACTCATAACATGTTGTATTATATTGCTTGCTGTCTGTTTCAAGTTACTTTCTACCTGAGTACTTTATTTTAAGCACTACCAAAGTGGATGACATGTCTAGAGAAAGAACAGGAGTCACTGAATGCTTCCTGCAAATGCATCTTCAAATAATGCTTTTACACCAGAAATTAGGATGTAAACTCACATAAGAACACATTCAAAGATAGGATCTCCAAATCACTGTATTCCTAACATAAGGACCACTAAATCCATCCTGTTTGCTCATTCAGGATGATGTCAATCTGTAGGATCAAAACTTTCATTTCTTTCTCAAAGTTTTTTTTTTTAAGATTTTATTTAGTTATTTGAGAGAGAGAGAGCATGAGTGGGGGGAGGGGCAGAGGAAGAAGGAGAGGGAGAAGCAGACCAACCCCCACCTCACCCCCCACTGAGCACAGAGCCAAGCATGAAGCCAAGGAGTCAAGCATGGAGCCCAAAGCAGGACTCGATCCCAAGACCCTGGGATCATGACCTGAGCTGAAGGCAGATGCTTTTTTTTTTCTTTAATTTTTTTATTCTTATGTTAATCCCCATACATTACATCATTAGTTTTAGATGTAGTGTTCCATGATTCATTGTTTGTGCATAACACCCAGTGCTCCATGCAGAATGTGCCCTCCTCAATACCCACCACCAGGCCAACCCATCCTCCCACCCCCCCTCCCCTCTAGAGCCCTGTTTGTTTTTCAGAGTCCATCGTCTCTCATGGTTCGTCTACCCCTCCGATTTCCCCCGCTTCATTCTTCCCCTCCCGCTACCTTCTTCTTCTTCTTTTTTTTTTCTTAACATATATTGCATTATTTGTTTCAGAGGTACAGATCTGAGATTCAACAGTCTTGCACAATTCACAGCGCTTACCAGAGCACATACCCTCTCCAGTGTCTATCACCCAGTCACCCCATCCCTCCCACCCCACCCCCCACTCCAGGAACCCTCAGTTTCCTGTGATTAAGAATTCCTCATATCAGTGAGGTCATATGATACATGTCTTTCTCTGTTTGACTTATTTCGCTCAACATAATACCCTCCAGTTCCATCCATGTCGTTGCAAATGGCAAGATCTCATTCATTCTGATGGCTGCATAATATTCCACTGTATATATATACCACCTCTTCTTTATCCATTCATCTGTTGATGGACATCTTGGCTCTTTCCACAGTTTGGCTATTGTGGACATTGTGGCTATAAACATCGGGGTGCACGTACCCTTTCGGATCCCTACTTTTGTATCTTTGAGGTAAATACCCAGTAGTGCAATTGCTGGATCATATGGTAGCTCTATTTTCAACTTTTTGAGGAACCTCCATACTGTTTTCCAGAGTGGCTGCACCAGCTTGCATTCCCACCAACAGTGTACGAGGGTTCCCCTTTCTCCACATCCCCGCCAACATCTGTCGTTTCCTGAC